TATTAAAGTACCTGTCTCCTTAAATGTTGGTGTGACACTGTGGTTTGGTTGTGTTAAAGTATGTGTCACCTCTGATGTTGGTGTTACACTGTGGTTTTGTTGTGTTAAAGTATGTGTCACCTTAGATGTTGGTGTGACACTATGGTTTGGCTGTATTAAAGTACCTGTCTCCTTGATGTTGGTGTGACACTATGGTTTGGCTGTATTAAAGTATGTGTCACCTCTGATGTTGGCGTGGCACTATGGTTTGGTTGTGTTAAAGTATGTGTCACCTTAGATGTTGGTGTGACACTATGGCTTGGTTGTGTTAAAGTATGTGTCACCTTAGATGTTAGTGTTACACTGTGGTTTTGTTGTGTTAAAGTATGTGTCACCTCTGATGTTGGTGTGACACTATGGTTTGGTTGTGTTAAAGTATGTGTCACCTTAGATGTTGGTGTGACACTATGGTTTGGTTGTGTTAAAGTGTGTCACCTTAGATGTTGGTGTGACACTATGGTTTGGCTGTATTAAAGTACCTGTCACCTAGATGTTGGTGTTACACTGTGGTTTGGTTGTGTTAAAAGTACTTTTTTAGGTTTAGCACTAATTGACAAAGAGTTAAGCTTTATTTATTAAATGACTTGTGAATGGCCATTGCTTTTTGTAAAATATAATCTTAAGTATTTGCACTTAGTAACCTGGAAAGTTGGAAAAAAAATTGGTTGGTGTGTGTTTTATAACATTTTTCCACCTGACAAGGGTTTTTTTTTCCATATTTCACATGATCTAACCATGATTGAGTTATATTTATATATATATATAACAGGTTATTGTGAGTAAAGAAAAATTCATAACATAATTGGTTAAAGTTGAATCATCATTCTGGTACATCCTGTTGGGTTCATTTACACTGTATAAAAGATTTAACTTGTTTTCAAAAATTGAAGTTACACCATTTACATAATGTGGGATACTGTTTTTATCTGGCTGTTTACCTGAATATTGTTTTTCTTTACAATTTTTTGTACAGGACAAACTGTTGCTTGAACCATACTCCTTACCTCGAGATATTGCCTACGTTGTTGTTGCTCCGGACAGCGACTTCATCTTGAATCGAGTGCGATTTTTCTTCAAAGAACTGAGCAGCATGTACGAGTTATGTCGCTTGGGTCGTCATTCTCCCATTACCAAAGTGTTAAGAGATGGAATCATGCGCGTGGGGAAGTCTGCAGCAAGAAAATTGGCCGATGAACCTGTAGACGAGTGGTTTAATTTAATTGGGAATGGACCAGTAGCTTCAAAATTGAAGCTTTATGCTCAAGTTTGTCGGCACCATCTTGGTGAGACGGTGTTTCTTTGAATTTGTTGAGAAAGATTTAACAAGAGAAAGTTTTTTTTGGGGGGGGGGTATTATTGCATTTTTTTTTTTTCTTCTCAAATGCACACATAAATTTAGAATTTTGCTAAAGAACCAAATTCTGTAAAAGTGTTTTAAAGCTTACATCTTTTTCAGTGTCATCTTGTATTAAGAAACTTCTTTGATAAGAAAGCAGTTAAAAATGTTATCGTTTATTCACTAACATAAGACATACAAACATTCTGAGTATCATAATTTACCTTATATTGTTTTTATTTGGTTATTATTATAATAAGCATTCTACAAGTTTTTGTCTTACTTAAATCGTACAGCTCCATATCTCGCTACTCAGTTTCTGGACAAGGCCACATTTTCCAGATCTTCATCAGTCAATTCCAAATCTCAGTCAGAAACATCTCCATTGTCATCATCATACGTAGATAGCCACCAGGAGAAGGAGCACTCTTCCAGATCTCAAGATTCTGGTACAAAATAAAATTGCCATTTTTTTCATTTAGAACATAGATGATGTTGTATAAAGACAAACATAAAAAAAAATGTCCTTTTTGTATACGCTTTATTGATAATGTGGTTTAGTTTTATCAAGTCCTATTTTTCAAATAGTCTACTGAGTTGCTTGGAAAATTCCATCACGTTTTTTAATTAGTATAGAAATGTGCTATATGGTGAGCTTTTTGGTATCCAGTGATAAAATTGTTTTGTAAAGTGGAGCGAGTTAGATATAAATTGATATGTTGACATTAGAACAGGCTGTAAATTTTATTTTAATACTAAGTATTTTGACTTTTTAATTAAATTATGAAATCTTAGTTGTTTGTTGTTGTTTTTTTTTGTTTTTTTTAGGGGGGGGGGTCCGTGAAGCATTTAAATTAGTTTTTCTTAGTTTAAATTTGCTCACATTTTACCTCAGCAAATGTGTGTATGTGTATAAATAATTTATTATTTGGGAAAAGTTAATTTGTTTAATCAGTAACTGCTTTATTAGTGTAAGAGTTAGTTAAAACTGCATACTGCCTGTAGGTAACGAAACTAATAATAATAATAAGATCTCTCATCCTGTCTCTAACAGATAGCCAGCAAGAAATCTCTGGGTTTGAACCATTGGAACAAGAGAATGGCCAACAGCATCCAGCACTAGTAGTATACTTAATAGAGCCATTCACGTTTGGAAATCCAGACAGCTACTTGTATCGCCTGTCGAGCCTTGGACTTTTACTGTGTTATAGACACATGTTACATTACCTGCCCGAGTCCATTTGTAACAGTATCCAAGTACAGGTAAGTTATTGTTTGTCTTATGAATAGAATTATGTATCATTCACAGAAACATCTTTAATTGTATTCACAGTTGTGTATTAGAAAATTATTTAGCATTTATTAAATGTTGCTGTTGCAAAGTGATGTTCATTTTCACTTGATTTTGTACTACACATATCAGAAGGGTGATGCTTTTCCATCAACTCTAGATTTCTACTTTTTTAGTGGTAAAATTGTTCATTTTTTAGATATGTTTGAATCCATGAAGAAAATTTTAAGGGGGTAGTTGGGAGGGGTTAACAGTGAGGTGAAGAATTTATGTTTATCACTATTAGCAGTGTTTGTGTAAAATATCAGGATCCAATATTGTTTCAAGTTACAGTGGGCAATAATTACCAAGCATTTTTACAAGTCATAAAAAAAAAGTATTAACCAGTATTATATGGTTTCCCTTTTTATCATAAATTGTCTTAAGCAAAATTTCTTATGTCTAGATCGTTCGATTAGACTCCATCCTCTCCATGGGCAAACCTGAAAATTTCAGCCAACACCAGTATGAACTGAAAGCATTAGCATTTTCTGTATACTCCCAGTGTCGTCGATTGCTTAGTCATCCACCAGGTGTCAAGTCCTTGACAGGTTTTGGACCTGCTGCTGCTCAGGAACAATTCCAGAAACAGCGAAAGGTCTGTTCCATGAAAGTGATAAACTTCCATCTTGATAATAGTAACTCAGTTGCTGTAACATACCTTAAAACTTTGAACTGTGGTTTGTTTTCATGTGTTAGTTGTCTGAATGAACATTTTTATAGTGTATTTTCATGTGTTAGCTATCTGAATGAAAGTTTTTAGACAATGTTGAATATTCTAAATTTGATAACTTGGCTGAGTTTTAAATTGCAGGAGAAATAAACAAATTGGACATGTTTAGACAATGAAAATTATGCAATAAAAAAGTATGCTTACCTGTATAGATAAGTGAACAATTGTCTCTACCAGATCGGTGAATAGCTCACCAAATTTCCATCCCTCAAGATTAATCTGCAAAACTAGTAACAATGAAAATCAAATAGAACTGAACCATGAAAGTAAGTCTGAATTCAACAGGTGAACTTGCTTTCTTTGTCCAGTTGACAGAATCACCTTGTGACCTTTTGTTCTCTTACACTAAAGGATATTGCAGTTGCTAAAGCTCTCTACCCGGGTGCTATGATGTTACTATAATATCCTCTTTGACAGAATAGACATTATCAACTATAGAGAACAAAACAACTAGAATAAGGCATTATCAACAACTTTCTAGACCATATATTTATGCCAAAATTGCATAAAAACCAAAGAAGCAATTTTTTTTTAAATTTGTTTGCAACTAAATTGGGTAGAAAACAAGTGATATTACTGTGTATCATGTCATCAGAATCTGACACAAGTCAAAAATATTATTAAATTTACAAAGAAAAGTAAAAATAAATATGGACCTTACATAACAGTGCATCTATTAATTATTTGTCTGCACAAACTCTTTCATCATATAAAAGTTAAATAGCTAAAGTTTTCAACGACAAACAATTTTTCTTGTTAACATTAATTAAATAGACATTTATGTTCTTTTGGAAATCTAGCTAGCCCCCCTACCCCCAAGTAAAGTACTGAACCTTCTATATACCCTTTTTTAATATCACTAATATCACTATTCAAAAAATCCTGACAAGTCTCAATTAATTATAATTTGTTTTCTATTTCAAAAACATTATATAATTAAGAATTATGAGCATGCTGAGTTAGCTGTAGCTTGTTACAGGAGTATTTAAAATAAATACAAAAAACATACTACACTGTTGTGAAAGAAAGTATATAAATGAGTAGTTTGTTTAATTTATCATTGTACTTATTCAAGTGAAAAAATCCAAATAGTATTTGAACTAATTTCATTGGTAAAATGAAAATTGTATGTTTTAAAGTTTTTATCAGCATTAGTACAGCATTTTTACACAACTGATGGGTGTTGGTCATTAGTACAGCATTTTTGCACAACCAATAGGTGTTGGTCATTAGTACAGCATTTTTACACAACCAATAGGTGTTGGTCAATTAGTACAGCATTTTTACACAACCGATTGGTGTTGGTCATTAGTGCAGCATTTTTGCACAACCAATAAAACGTTTTTTAATTAGTAGGTATAAGTGTCTTGAACCCCATAAAAAAAGTTTATTTCAGAATAGATCTTCAGGAAAAAACATTTTACAAGTAATTTGTGCAGTGGTATTACCGAATAACGATGCAGATGTGTTTTTTTAGTTTTCATTCTTATCTTTTTTTTTCTTGTATCTTTAGAGGCTAAAGAAAAACATGCAGTAGATGTAGTTTTTAAATAATAAGATCATATAAAATAAAAGACTGACTTTAATACAATCATTTAATTATTGTATTGTTGTTCTTAGGAGAAAATTTCTCTTCCAAGAAAACTTTTCTCTCCTCCCTTCATTTTGGCCTCCATGAAAGACAAACAAACGGAGCTTGGCGAGATGTTTGGAGACAGACGAGAAAAGTCCTCCATTCTGTACTGCTGCTACTGCCCCACAGAGGACCATCGTTGGTTGTTAGGATGCATCACAACTGATAAAGGAGATTTGTTAGAGAATTGTTGTATCAACATTAATATTCCAGACAGGTAAAGTTGTGACCAAAGATACATGTAAATTATGATTTTTGACTTTTGTATTGACTATATTGTTAGGAATTATTAAAAAATAATTTTCTTTTTAATAATGTACAAAAAAATATAGAACGTGTTCAGTCTGGATTTATTTTAACTTAAATACGTACTTTAACTTTGTATTGATTGTAATACATGATAACGTGTGAATAAATTTGGGCAAATTGTAAAAAATATTGCCAAGAAATGGTTTGCCCAAATTAACTTTGTCTCATATTTTTGAAGCATACGGGGTGGCCGAGTTATCTTGGGCAAATCACGGAAGGGATTTAAGAGGAAATAAACTGTAATGATGTCCTACTAGTAATCCCAAAATGGTATTTTTAACTTAACAAAGAAATTTATGTTTTATGTGTGGTACATAAAACTTGACTTCTGGATGATTGTTCAATATAATCAAGTTATCTCTGTGTTCACAAAGAAAAATTATAAAAACAGTAAAGTATATACCAAAAGAACTGGTTGCTATTTTGTAATATTTAGTGCATGCTTTCACTTATCTTATTTTGGTAAGTATAGATATAGTTAGGAGATACTTTATCCACAACCATAGATGATGATATGATTAGAACTCTGTGCCATAAATTTTATCTCTTAAAAGTGAATCTTGTTGAAGTTAGCTCTAATATTTTTCCACATAAATGTTGTAAACTTTTTAATAGAGTGTACATGTTAGATAGAGTTTTATGTGTGTACTGTTTTTTCTCGTAAAATGAAATTATACAAAGTTTCATATGATATTTTGCCTGCTTCATCTCCTTAATAACAAATGGTAGAATTTTTTGTCAGCTGGGAATCATATATTCTATACTGTTTTTCTTATTAAACTTCCCACTAGGCCTCATCGAAAGAAGGCTTCGTCAAGAAGAACTGGTCTTCACAAGTTATTAGATTTTATTCTTGGTGTAATGTCAAACTCTTGTGAACAGTGGCGGTTGGTAGTGGGAAGGCTGGGCCGTCTAGGGCACGGAGAACTGAAAGACTGGGCCACCTTACTAAGCAGAAAGTATTTACTTCGCTACAGTCGACAGTTGAGAGAGTTATGTAGCCAGTGTGCTGTACTCAATCCCCTTGACGCTTCCAGCATTCTATCTGCATGTTTGGTATCGCTGGAACCTGATTCATCCCTCAGAATAATGCCAGATCAGTATACCCCAGACAACCGCTTTGGAAGTAGCAGTCGTGGTTGTGAACTTAGCACCCCAGAAGATGCATCCTGTACTCAGATCTTAGTGTATCCAACATCTGCCACCACACAGGTATTGTATAATGTTTTTATTTTTTTTATTTTACTAGAGTTTTCTAAAGAACTGAAAGTGAAAAGCTGATGACCTTAAGCATACCATTGCTAATAGTTTATTAAACTATTAGCACATATATTCAACCAAAAAAAAAACAATAATATTTTTAACACATTTACAGTATTCAATCATAAAATTATAGTTATATGTTTTGTAATATTTATCATTATTATTACATCATTTTCAAGCAACCAAGAAATGATTCTAGAAGTCACCCATTTCTAGACATAGTGTTAAATGTCATATGGAAATTTTTCTTATAACTCTCAGGCTAACACTGGTAAATGTAAAATTATAATCTAGACTGATATTTTGGTTGTTTACATCAGCCATGCTCGTGTGGTTTTGGAGTTATGATTCCTCATGTGGAGTATCTCAGAATGGTAGTTGATGGTTGTATACAAGATTTTAAAAATCCCAAACGAAATAATCAACTTAATATTAAAAACAACAACTTGAAAACCTTTATTTATTACAATCAGCTTTTTATATATATTATGTCTGGAGTCTCGTGGTTGAGCATGTTCGACAAAAACTTTGCTGAGTTAGGGGGTGCCACTATTTATAGTTTGGAAACCACTGCATTATGTTGTATTTACTTCATTCTGCTTTTTGTTTTCATATCTTGTTTATGGTTGCAAGTTTACATGAGCGAGATGACACAGTTGATCTGTCATCCAGGTTAAGTAATTTATAATGATTCAAAATATTAAACATATATTTATTCTTTCACAAACATTATAAAAGGTTGTGGAACATTAGTCCTTTGAGATGTTATTATAAGATTATGTGAATAAGAACTTAATGTTTCAGTTCTTAGAAGTTTAAAAGCCTTTTAACCATCACAATGTTTTTTTCAGTCCTCCCAGGCTACCTTCCATCAAGAACATATAGACTCCCTGGGGCCATCATTTGGAGATGATGATTTCTTCCAAGCACTGGAGATTCCAGAAGAACAAGTCATCACTGATCTAATTACATGGACAGAAAGTCCAACACATAGTCCAGTAGGTTCTCCCCGTCGGGACTTGGGCAGTCCAGGAGGTGGGGTAGGCAGACATTCCCCATTACATCATAATGGACCTATTAAGGTATGTTGTAGGCAGTTTTTATTCTTGAATGATACCCTTATTTAATCTCTCTTAAGGAAACAAACAAGATTATCACAGAATAACTTAAATAAAGGTAGACTTAGTCCTAGTTTAGAACTGATGACACTTTATTGATCATGTTTCTAACTTCTCTTGGTATCTACTGTTTGATTATGTTAGAACTCAAGTAGAGTAACAGGTGAGCACCAGGAGGAGCCACTGCAGCTTCTACAGCAGCCTCTGGCTCTAGGATACTATGTGTCCACAGCCAAGACAGGCCCATTGCCCGGGTGGTTTTGGTCTCCCTGTCCTCACTTAAAGGATGCTTGCCCAGTTTTTTTAAAGGTAAGATATTGGATACTTCATTGGGTTTTATAAAAAGAAATAACACGTTAAGTAGAAGATGATTTTTGCAAAGATCTAGTATGCAATAAGAGATTGAATTCTTTGTTATCAGTCAGAAGCATAACTAGGGTAAATACAGTGGCGACATTCAGCAACATTTTATAGACTTGAAATAAGACCCAAAACTTGAGCACTCTCGAATAGTTGACTATTCTTCTTCAGAAGAACAAAGACGAATAGTCAACTAATTGAAAGCGCTTGAGTTTTGGGTCTTGTTTTAAGTCTATTACACTTTATATGTGATCCTTTGTGCTTAACTCTCTTATCAAAAATCAAAGCAATATTTTATAATAGTTGTTAGTGACTTTTCGATAGATTAGCCTGACTGACCCAACATGTGATAGCCTAAAGCTTATATAGCAAAAAAAAAAATTTTGTAGTATATCAAGAGAATAATGAATATTCAGTAGTTGTGTTTAATAAATGTTATTTTCGTTAATATCATTTTGAAATAATGGAAACGAAGCTACTGTTAAAATGTGTTTATTTTGTCATTTAAATCAAGCAAGTAGTCTGATTGATATCAGAAATACAGCCATAAAATCCTATCTTATTACCTTTAAAACATTTGAACCTTCTAATTTTGCCACTACACCTGCTGATTACTAAAATTGATGTCCAAATTATGAAATAAGAATATTTTGTATACTTTATTGGTTATCTTGAAAACGTTGTGTAGCCAGTAACTGTGTATTAGACACGAGGCAATCGGTAGGTGACCTCAATATAATTAGGTAATGGAATTCTTTCTACCTTACAACAACACATCTAGGAAAGCTTGGATCCATTATGAACCTAAGCGTTATCATATCAAAGTGAAATAGAGGATTGTATGAAAAGATGGTTAAAAATAGACTTGTAGGGTTAGGCTAGCCACCTGATGTAAGCACAAGAAGTCATTTCAAGTTTATAGAATTTTGTGTGTGTGTGTGAAATATGGTGTGGAAATTTAAAAAAAAATGTAACATCTATTAATAAATAATTTCTAGATGCTTTTTTCCAATATATTTGATACATTAACTTTTTTTTAAGTTATTGCATATGTTGGGCTACAATTACATTTTAATGTTTTTCATTGCACTGGGATTGTGAGATCATTTATACTAAACCTCAGTTTTTTTCTTGTAGTCTGCCCTCCACATTCACTCAACATCTGTCCAGCAGAGCTCAGATGAGCTTCTCCACAACACTCAACATGTTCGAAATTGTCATCCGTTAGACTCTAACTTGACTACCGATGTGCTTAGGTAAGTCGTACGGACGAGCAGAGAGTTAGGAAAGGATGTTATGGTGTTTCTTGAAGGAATCATTGCTTATTTTAATAATTATGAATCATGTAGATAAGTTTACCAAAGTCTTTAAATTCTGGAGAGCCAGTGTGTGAAAATCTGTTAAATCTACACCGAAATCTAGTTAGCTTTTAACTCAGTTTGCCCTAGAAGGTAGCAACATTAGCCCTTTTATTAAAAAAAACAGCTCATAAGGAACTTAAGGCCAATACTGAATTAAAGTTTTCATTTTAATATTGTAGTCAGAGAAGTTTATAGAAAAGTTTTTTTGCCTATGATTTCATATGGATAAACCTAATTATCTTATAGACTAAAACGTTTATTGGTACAGTTTATGTTAATAAAACGTTTAGGATTACACTTTCAAGGGGTATAAAAGATTCTGGCTATTTTTGTGTATTAAAATCTTTTTGAAATGTCTCGGTACTCTTCAATGTCAAATGTACAATAAACATTTGTCACAACTTGTTGTGAGAGGCTGGTTGAGTCATTTTTGATATATACACCTGGAAAAAAGTTAAGCACCCCTGTGTTTTTTTCAAGTGATT